CCTCCCTTACTATCTTCCTGTCTTTTCAGATGAAGAGACAGAACAGGGAGAGGTAACAGACATTTAAGTGTCATTACTAAGGACATAAAAACAGGTTGGCAGCAAAAAAATAATTAGAACCAGAATGAACAACTTTCTAATTAAATTACACATACACACACACACACACACACACACACACACACACACACATTCATACATTTACCCACAATGCCTTAAACATTACACAATATTATAGAAATATTAGGTATTAAGCCAATGTAATAATTCACCCATTGAGCTTCCAATGGAAGCTAAAGAGCTCGCAAAAAAAATAAACTGTTTTTCCAAAGAGTCCATGCTTCTTGGTCTACAGACATCTAGGAGTGCTAGAGACTTATATAGCAACAGATCAGTCATTTTTGGTAAGGCTGCTATTAGAAATTCAATTGGTATAATATGGTCTGTTAGTAGCTGAGATCATGAAATTGATAAGGCCAATGAGTTAATTGCTGAAATAATATTTTCTTTATTCTTGGTACTAGAAAATAGACTCCTAATAAAAGTAATATTAATTATTTTTGATATGCTAAGCATTTGTGGTAGTTATACCTGGCAGAATAATTACTTTCTAAATGATAATAATAATAATAATGATAATAAATAAGAATAGTTCTTATCCTACCTTTTATATTTTAACATACTAAATTCCATTCCAATTTCTCATAGAACCACTAATCAGATTCAGCCAATATAAACTCACAACATACCTCATTTTATTTATATCCAACCATTCCAGGCCCCTAATCCCACTATTGATTATTTTGAATCAACTATTCAGCCTCATTTTATAAAAAAATTTAAAGATATATCTCTGAAAGATAAAATTTCTTTTTAACATATTCACAATTCACAATAATTATCACACTTTAAAAATTAATATTAATTACTTAGTTTAATTTAATATCCAGATGTTAAAGTTTCTTCAGGTTTCTCATAAAATTTTAACAGTTGTTTATTGGGTCAGGATCCAAATAAGACTATCTATATTATAATTGGTTGTAAGTTCTTATAAGATGCTATAGGTTTTTCCTCGATACTTTTTTCTTGCATTTTATATGTTAAACGAATTGGGTCATTTGTCCTGTTGAGTAATCCACTGTGTGTGTTTTTATTGTTCTATTTCTGGACTGCACATCTTTGAAAAATTGTTTCTATTACCCAGTCAATAATTGTGTTAAGGATACACTCCCTGTTACTATACTTACTATTGATTTGGTGAGATATGACATATTACATTTTCAAAAGGTATTAGTTTTTTCTTTTAATATGAGAAAGTTGGCAAACACTCAATATCTATGATAGTCTTGTACATTTGATTGAATCACAAAACACCAGGAATTTTATTCTCTAAAAATGATCCCAAAGTATTCATAGTCTCTTTTAATTTTGTCAAATTGAGCACGATGTTTCAAGTATACTTTCAAGGAAATTTTCTGATAAATTATTCTATACTTTATAATAATTCAATGGAAAAGATTACCTTGGAGAAACCTTGCTATGTTTAAATAGCTTATTTAAAAGGTTTAAGGCTGGGCGCGGTGGCTCACGCCTGTAATCCTAGCACTCTGGGAGGCTGAGGCAGACAGATTGCTTGAGCTCAGTAGTTCGAGACCAGCCTGAGCAAGAGCGAGACCCCGTCTCTACTATAAATAGAAAGAAATTAACCAAACAACTAAAAATAGAAAAAAACATTAGCCGGGCACGGTGGTGCGTGCCTGTAGTCACAGCTACCCGGGAGGCTGAGGCAAGAGGATCGCTTGAGCCCAGGAATTTGAGGTTGCTGTGAGCTAGGCTGATGCCACGGCGCTCTAGCCCAGGCAAGAGAGTGAGACTCTGTCTCAAAAAAAAATAAAATAAAGTAAAATAAAAAGTTTAAATAGCTTATTAAATTTTTTGTTACATAAAAGGGTACAAGAATAGCCATGGAAGCATAGAAATGTAATATGGGTCTAGGAGAGGATGAAATGTTGCATGGACTTGGTCCCATTTAAGATGGTCCTGAAAAATGGATAGAATTTGGTATGACAGTTACAGGTAGGAAGCATCCCCATAGGAATTGTAGTATGAGTAAAAGCACAGAATAATACATAAGTACAATTGAAGTGAGAACTCCTCTTAGCTAGAAAATTTATAAGGTGACAAAGTAGAACATAAAGGTGGAAATGTTAAGAATATTTTGTAGAGGCCCTTGAATGTCAAATTTTACTTTGAATTTTACTGGTCAGCTGCGTGTTTTAGGAAACTTATTATATCTCTTTGGGCTTTTCTGTCTTCACTTAGAGTATCAGAAGGCAAGCCTACATGCATTTTATGGTCCCTTCTGGTTCTAATATTGCATTCTGGAGAATGAATTTGATAAACAGTACAATATTTGAATTCTTCTAGGCCAGAGGTATTGTGGAAAGTGTTGAAGGCTTGAATTAGTGTGATAAAACATGGAAATTGAAGGAGAACATAGATGCCAATGGATTTGTAGAGGTCGAATCAGCATGACTAGGTGTCGATTGCTCTTCTGCAATAATTGAAAGGAGAAAGTGAAGAGTCAATTATTAAGGTTTTAATCCTGCAGAATTAAAAAAAATGGTCCTATGAATAGACATAAAAAAGAAATCAAAGGAAGGGGATTGATTAGGACTTGGCGGATAAAAGAAGGAAAATGGTGAGTTTGGTGTGTAAACTTGAAGATTATGTAAATGGACGAGGCTTTTTTTCAGTTGATATTGCTGATTGGGAATATAAAACAGGTTAATTCTAGAGGGTAGAATTTCAGTTGAAAATTTAGTAGGAAAGAAATTATTACTAAGTAAACGACGTAAAAAAGTGTTTGGGAAAAGAGTATATATTCCTGGAGAAAAAATAATGCCTTTAAGAGATGTGGATAAGAAGAAGACCCAGTAAATGAAAGAGCAAATGGCCAAGAATGATGGTAGACAAGTCAGGTGAGCTTATTAGAATGACATTCTATGAAAGGGAAAGGTTCAAAAAGTGGAAGGACCAAATTGGTCAAATACAAAGACTTTAGAACATCACGAGAACTGACGAAAATTCTTGTGTTCTGGGGGATAACCGCTTCACAAGTGCAAAGAAAGCAGGGCAGAAGCTACCTTTAAGGGATTAAAGTGAGAGTTCGGTATAAATATATAGGCAGCAAGTAAAGTATTCTTATGTATTGAGTAAGAAAATACACGTGAACCAGAAAACAAAACTGATTTTGGCTAAACCACTCAACTTCTCTGGAGTTTGTTGTTGTTGGTTTTCCAGTTCTACACTAGAAATTATAGTATGCCACTTCTTTAAAATCATGGAGGAAAAAATCAATAAGGGGCTTTAGCTCCCTAATAAGAACTACGTTGTCTCATTGTCATCTCTATTGCTAATATTTGTGTCAAGTTAAAAAGTATAAGAGAGTATATCATAGACATGGTGGTAAGTATTTAATAGTTCTCTTACTCTTGGATTGACAAGTAGACTGAGAAGTTCACAAAAGATTTTTCTTCATCTTGAGTGCTTTTATTTTTTAATTTAATTTAAATTACTGTCTCATTGCATTAAGACAGTTTGGTTTTTATTTCTAAATTATTCCCTGAGATTATTGTTTCTGAGGTAGTTTGACCAGTTGTGGACAGTTGTCTCAATGCCCAGTGTAATTAGACTACAAAATGTATTATATGCAAATAATAATGTATCACATGCCAAATGTGAAAAATAAGTGGTCTGTGAACCTGGAAAACCCCCTGCATAAGAGGGTGTATTCCCCTTGAGGAAGATAGTTTTAAGAACCAGCATGTTCCCATCATAGACTGGCTCAGTATAGTAAGAATTAACTTAGGAAACAAACACATCATCATCCTAAGTAATCATTTCCTTGACCAAAATACCCTCTGCTTAGCAGCAAAGCAATTGGTTCAACTGCAGCAGAGTTCCAAGTGATTCCGGCACCCCCATGTTATTCTTGTTTCTTTGGAGGCCTCGGAGACTGTGCATGCACAGCGACTGGGTTCATGTGGAGTCATGACAATCCACCTGAGAAATGGTTCTCCACGCAGGCATCAACCTATGACCATTACAGGGTGTGTGAACATGTCCTGGGTCTATTGGGTCTAACTGTATCCTTCAGAATACTGATTCCAGAACTCTTAGGTAACCCAGAAATGAGTTTAACTTAATGTACAAGTTTGTATTTTGTTTATAAAATATTGTTCTTCAAAACTTGTTTAAAAAATGTTTTCTTGCATGTCAATGAATAAATATTTTAATTTAAAAAGTTATTAAGAAATGTGATTTAAGAATGCCCAGAAGTTGTCATTCATATTTCTTATTTGTTTTGAAGAATTTAATGCCACTTGAATTTCAATTTTTGTATAGATCTTCCTTTAGACAAAACATCTTTTATTTTCACTTGAAAAAAATCTAGTACTAAAGACCAGCAATAACTCATTAGCTGGAAACCAGATTTTTTTAATCACTTGGCTTCCAAAATAATACTTAGATTAAAAAAGTAAATTAGGAAAGTTTTCCGAAGAAACTCTCATCTCATACTTCTTTTTCATTTTAACCTTTTAAAAAAGAGATCTTTCAATCATATGAAGTTTCACTTAGTAGTCACAAAGATTCTGGAGAGACAATGACTTTCACTCAGTCATTTACAAATATTGAATTTTTTATAAGGTGAAATAACAATACTTTTAAAATATTAATATCATAAAGTCATAATTTAAAGTCAATGATAACATATATTATTATGAGGGGTGCATGGTATTATTTCATAGTGCATTCATAATCGAAGGTCATGTTGTATATGTTGCATTGCCATAATTTTCTAATTAATTTGTTCTTTATACATGTTTGTATGTGTTCCAATTGCATTTCATTAACTCACAGTTTTCTTGTAAGTTTGTACTTTCTTTCCATGTTCAAAGAATCTCTTTAATTCAATTTCTCTGTTTCTCCTCATACAGTCTGGCAGCCAGATATGCAACTCAGTCTAATCACAGTGGAATTGCAACCAGTCAAAAAAAGCCTACTAGGTCAGTTAATATTCTCTAATTTATTGCTTCTTAGTGATATTCAAGTAAATACCCAGTGATATTTTGTCCTATCTAAATTTTTTTTAAATGACACATTTCCGAATGAGAAGTTTAGAACACTGAGTTTTTCCAGGCAGATTTCCATACATAGCCTCAGGGATGAGCATGTTTGTGTTAGATAATTAAATGAATTTTGGCTTCTTTTTAGTCTAGTTATACATAGTGGTATGACTGGGCTGAAGTCTAGGTTCTAGGGTTAGAACAAATAAAGACAAAAATTAATTTGAAGGCCCCATTCTTTCCAGATCACGTAATCTGGAAGTTATACAATAAGCATTTACTTTTTGAGATGGGCATACATTAATTATTGTACATTTTAAAGCAGAATTGAGAAACGTTGGTATATTTTGGTGGGGGAGTTAGTAACAGGTCAGCATGGACTATTTTTCTATCTATAATAGTTTAAATTTTTGCTTATTTATGACATATGTGTTTTCAAGACAGTGTGTTATAATAAACAGCATTACATACTGTTTGGAAAATATTGATACATAAAAAATATGTTGGAAGATTGGATTTTTTTTAAAAAAGTGTTAAGTTACTGAAGGCATGATGGTATCATGGAAGAGCTAAGTAAAGGCACAGCAAAAGTGTTTTGCGCCTCTGATTAGTATGTGAATTCTGTGTGCCATCTCACTTGCTGGGGAAGTATCCCGTGGTTGTTTATTAGTCATTGTTCCATTAATGAATCATATCATGCAATGCTTGATTACAAGGACTACTTCTGATGCTTTGAATTGAGGTAGGTACCTTTTCCCTTGCCTTAGTTTTCTAAGTTATGTTGATTTTCATAGTAGTCAGAAAGATTCTGGAGAGACAAATTTAAGAAAGTATTTAATTAAAAACTAAAATAAATGGTCTAAATTACAATGTGTAAGGAACAGTGACCTGCCATGTACAATAAGCAAATGAGCATTTTTTATTACTCCTTCTAAGACTTGGGCATGTGAAATATATTTTAAGTACTTTGTTTTAATAGAACCTCTCTCTCTTTCTCTCTTACTTTGCTTCATCTCATTTCCCTTTTATTACTTTGATGAATGATCTGGAGGCTCTGGCTGCCTGTCAAATTAGGGTAATGAGAAGAGCAAATGCAATTTTTTAATTTGTTTTAATTTGTTCTTCTGAGGACTGAAGATCACTTGGCTTTATGGGTCACAGTAAAGACTAAAATGTATTTTAATTGCTTTCTAGAAACGGGTCAGTTTTCATTGCAAGCAGGGCAGGTTTTGTGACAGAATTTGTTTATACATTAGTTTGGAATGAATTTTCTGTCTATGGCTATGTCTAAAGGAATAGTGCTGAGATTTATTATGACTGGGATATTTGGCCAAATTAATCCATTGAGTTCTTTCTGCAGAGCGCAATCACTGGTACTACAAATTCCTAGTGTCTGTGGTTATTGTTCTATACTTACAAACCCTTGTAGATTCATTCGAGCAAAAGTTAAATGCTGGAATCATTTGGAAAAGATTCTAGTCTTGTGTATGACAAAACCTCTAATTAGCAAAATAGCTGAATGGACTGTTTATTAGCCATATGTATTTAAACTCTGAAACATAGTCAACATTTTGAAACTATTAACTGTTCTGAAAAATCAACACTTTTGTTTGTAGGCTGGTATTTGTTTTTTCCTGACGTTCATTCCATTTTGCAATGCCCGTTACTTTTATAAAAGCATTTATATTTTCTAAGGGTTTGATTTCCTAATCTATGGAAATAATATAGTCAAGTGATATTAATAAAGGTGAGTTAAAATGTGAATATTATAACAACCGAATTGTGAAATTTTTGATATATTGGGCACCAATATACCAGAAATAAACAATCTTTTCTTTAAAATTTTTATACAAGAGAACTGCAAAAAATATTCAGTACTGTATTTGTAGGTTGGTTCTAGATTGTTTTTGTTTGTTTTTCTTTTCAAATAAAATTTTTCACAGTAGTACACAGTGACATATGGTGGCAGCAAATACTAGCAAAGCTATTGGTAACCTTTAATAGAATGTCAATATTGGTTCTTAATTTCTAGTTTTTAATATATGTGGGTTTAGTTTATTGTACCATGTGCATTAGTAGCATAAAATCAAAATCTCATAATTTCACATTTTAGACATAGCTCATTAAATAATTGACAATTAAAATTTTAATGTAGATATTGTTTAAACAGTAAAATAAATGATGCAAACTGATATTTAATTATAATCCAGTAAAATAACTACAGGTTATTGGACCTCCTGTCAAACTGCCTCTATTGTAAGATAGCCTGTGCATATTTCCTTGTGTCCTGTTTTTTATACACAAAGACTACCTAAAGATGCTGTCACTGTAGTATATTTTAAATTGTCATTCAGCTAAGAGCAATTTTCTTCTGAGATCTGCATTCTCTCTTGTCATATCTCCTCTGTGATCAGTTGGTTGCACTTGGGAGATAACGAGGTACTTATTTTTGGCAAGAAAATGAAAGAGTTTTTTGGTGAGGCAGGCCAGTCAAATATAATTTAACTCATGATCTGGGTCCCAGCACTATGTTTTAATTAAAGTAGTAATTAGCTTAAATGATCAATAAGCATTTGCTGTTCTTAATTTTTCAGTAGCTTTATTCTTATTAAAGCTTGTTATTAATATATGAGCTGACTTAGACTATAGCCACCTATATTTCTAAAAACAAATGCCCCATACATTGAAAAGAACACTGTGAGTTGCTTATTAATATGCTGAGAATATAATAAAGTTAAGTGTTATTGTTTTCTTTACTTTTCATGTAATTACTACAGTACTTAAAATGCAAAGTTTTCTTCATCAGGGGTGGGGTAAATATAACTTTTAAGTTAAAGGTTATTTTTGATTATTTTACATTATTACTACTCTTTGGGAACATGTTTATTATAAAGTGAAAGAAGATTTTTCTGAAGATCTCCAACCTTGTGTTTAGCTATTAGTCACTTAAACCACCATCTTCTGCTAAATAGATTTTAGAACATCATATATTGTAATTTTCTTATTTACTCTTCCCTGTTCAGAACCTGCTTTTTACCTTTCCATAATGTACAATAATGATGTAATTTTTCTTATACTATTTCAGGCTTCCAGGGCCCTCTAGGGTGCCAGCTGCAGGCAGCAGCAGCAAGGTCCAGGGAGCCTCTAATTTAAATAGGAGAAGTCAGAGCTTTAACAGCATTGACAAAAACAAGCCTCCAAATTATGCAAATGGAAATGAAAAGGGTAAGTTTTCACCTATTACATCATTATGGCAGAAGTCTGACATGAGTCTTGTGAATTACATGCTAAGTCTAATATTTGAGCAGTGTAACAGCTTTTGGGATAGAAATGTCATCAGTGAAGTTTCATTGTGTTTCCTAGCTGCCCCCTCCTGAATTCTGATTTTCTTATTTAAAGAATATTTTAAGCAAATAAACTAATTTATTTTAAAGTAGTTAACTGTGTACCCAAGTATTAAATCTGTCTCTTAAAAACAGTTCCTCCCAGGAGCATATAAATAGTATTTTCTTATGCCTTTCAAGTTTTATGAAAATTCATCCTGAATTCATAAAACTATGTTGAATTTATTTGAATCCTTAGCTTCAGTTGATGTAAGTATCATAAGTGTTTTGGACAGTTAAGGTTGGAGCATCAAAAGTTGAAACATAATCATGATTTATCTTTGCAAGCAGCAGGTCCTAGGAATATTATGACCTCAGTTTTCCCCAAAAGACAAATTTTTCATTATTTGTTTTGTTTTCTTAAAATATTGCATAATATAAATATAAAAAACCATTAGGAAGAAAGGACAATTAGTGGTATTATATGTTAAAGGCATATTATAAATGAAGTATATGCCACCCAGTTCTCTGTGATATGCAAAATGTCCATTTAAACTCAGAGACTCCGGCTTGCTGCCTGTCACTGCATAGCAGAGCAGAGGGCGTGAAGTTTACACCTGAATCATGAGGAAATCACAGTTTTCATATCAATAGAACTTCAAACTTCTCTTCATAGTATTGAGCTCTACATGGAACAACACTTGAAGTTAAAAAGTGATACAGATATTTAGTTAGTAAAATGGTTGGCAAGTTTGGTTTGAATAGTTCAACCAAGTAGAAACACTTTCGTTTGGATTAGAATAATTGCAAATCGTTTCAGATAGGTGAATGACTAGACAACTTTCTCTTACTTGGATATGAATTGACAGATGTGATCTATGATTTAGACACTCTTTTGTGAAAATCTCACCCTCCAATGAAAGCAAAATTGGTCAGACTGTAAAGCCCTGAGAGCAGAGCAATGTGTCTTGATCCTTGCAATATCCCCAGCTCTTGAATTAAATGAAAAATTTTAAAACAGTGTATTTGAAAGTTAAGAGTTTGTCTTTAAAATATAAAATATTATAATATCTTTGATTCAAGGTATAAGAAATATTACTGAAGACATACTCTTCTTGGGGAAAAGGGAGATGACATTTCCTTATCAGAAAAACATTTCCCCTTGCTCTGTAACTTTTTTAGGAAGTGTTAGATGAGTTCAGGCTAATAGTTCCTGTACATGGTATGAAATTTCTAGAGGAAGCTAACAAGCTTAGAAATAGAGATGTGTTGGTTGGGTGCAGTGGTTCATGCCTGCAATCCTAGCACTTCGGGAGGCTGAGGTGAGAGGATTGTTTGAGGCCAGGAGTTCAAGCCAGCTTGGACAGCACAGTGAGACCCTTCTCTACAAAAACTTTCAGAAAAAATTAGCCAAGTATGGTGGTGGGCATTTGTATTCCCAGCTACTTGGGAGGCTGAGGCAGGAGGATCACTTGATCACAGGAATTGGAAATTACAGTGAGCTGTGATTACAACACTGCACTCCAGCCTGGGCAACAGTGAGACCCTGCCTCCACATAAAGAAAATAATAAAAAAGAAATAAAGAAATAGATAGAAATATGTTGAATGGACTGCCAAAGTATTTCGTTAAGCTACATTATACCACAGTTATATAATATTTTTCAAGAAATTACTAATGTTGGCAGAGACTTAGAAATGTTAGCAATGGGATATCATAATATATCTATATGATTGTTCTATAAAGTGAAAATTTCTTTAACTTCATTCCTGTCTCTAAAAGTAAAAATTCAAAGATAGATAAGCATTAACATTTTTCCATGGCCACCCAACCTCTCCTATGTATGTCTAAGAAGCAGTGAAAATTAGAAAGTAGCAATATTTGTAATAACCACAAGATGGAGACAGACACATATAATATGCAGTCTTTGATCATACAAAGCAGATTTCCTTAGGTCACATATTTACAGCCAAATACAAGAGTTTTCATGGCGAATTAGCCATTTAATTCCGACTAACTAAAAATTCCAAAACATTTACAGTGTGTGATCTCACATTGAAAAATATTTATAATATTATACATCAAATCTAGACATTAAATGTCTATCAACTACCAATAGTAACTTAAATTGCATCATATGATGCAGCCATCTGTAATTTGTTTTACATACAATATGGAATTTGCTATTAAACATGGAGTTACAGTGTTACATCAGTACATCCAATATTAATGTTTCTGAATTAATTATTATGCCATGCTATTTTATATTTCCAAAATAGTATCTTAAATTTAAGAGCAAACAAAGCAATAATAAATGTTACATATAAAACAATTATAATTTATTCTGTATTCAAATAATACATATTTTGATAAAGATGTTTGAATCTTTTTGACATGAAGCTTTATAGTTCTAGCATAACATACATAAAAATATAAGATTCCATCTGCTGACAAGTTGATCTGTATCATAAACTAATTTGCATAGGTATCTTGGGTATGACCAAGCGAGGTAAAAATTAAACAAGAATTTTCAAAGTTTACAGTATTATAATGACAGAATTCAGAAAAAACGAACTCGAATGTCCTAATTCTAATTGCTATTCCTCTTTAGTTGTTAAAAATTGGAACATTTAAATTAATAATATATTTTAAATTAATAAATTAAGATATTTTATTTGAAGGTTGAACCACATTATCTATAATGTGCTCCTTGAATGCTTCTCAGTGGAAATATACTTTCTACATTCTTTAATGAGTCTGAGGAGATGAGTTATATAAATAAGTTTAGGAATCTGTAGAATTTGTAATAGATAATAAAGGTTTATTCACAATTAAAACAATTTCACTTTTTTATTTAAGAAAAACAAACTGTTGAAAGCACAGTAGCTTTTCATATCTGTGATTTGTAAAAAATAATTGGCTTATTTGAAAATGAATAAGGAAAGGAAATCGGTAGAGAATCACAAATTATACTTCAAAAGATACATCTAATATAATTTTAATAGTAATGCAATTCAAAAAAATAGTGTGTTCATTTTACCATTTCATCTAAAATATCAGAGCACGTTATAATAGATTATCATTTGCAGAGAAGGCTGAAATGGAAATGTTATAATAGAATGCAATGCCATCTTACCATTATGCTGAAGTGGAATGTGAGAACAGATCTCTCAGAACAAGTTGTGAAATGAAGATAGCATCATTTGTAAAGCATTTCTTTTGAGAGTCCTTCAGTTTCTTCTCCTGATGACCTGCCTTTCAGAAACTGACAATGAATAATACATTCTGATGCCAGCATTTATCCATTTGCCCAGGCATCCTTTAAGAGTACTCTAGATAAATACATGCTCTAAAGAAAACCAAATCCCTGTTCACTGGAAATCAGATCTTGTAAAAATCATGCCATGGTTCATTTGTAAATGTGGTTTGCATGTCTGAAGCAAATTATCTTAAGAAATTATCCTTGTTTTACAAAATCTGTGTAATAGGCCCAGCGAGGTGGCTCACACCTGTAATCCTAGCACTCTGGGAGGCCGAGATAGGTGGATTGTTTGAGCTCAGGAGTTCAAAACCAGCCTGAGCAAGAGCGAGACCCCGTCTCTACTAAAAATAGAAAGAAATTAATTGGACAACTAAAAATATATAGAAAAATTAGCCGGGCATGGTGGCGCATGCCTGTAGTCCCAGCTACTCCGGAGGCTGAGGCAGAAGGATTGCTTGAGCCCAGGAGTTTGAGGTTGCTGTGAGCTAGGCTGACGCCACGGCACTCTAGCCCGGGCAACACAGTAAGACTCTGTCTCAAAAAAAAAAAAAAAATCTGTGTAATAAATCTGAACAATGCTAAATGGCTTAATATTAAGATTATAAATATCTTTTTATTTGGAATCCAGTTTCTGAATTATGATCTATAAACATGTATTGTTTGACAGAGTCCCTTAGTAGAGAGGTGTTTTTGCATGTTGCCAAGAAACATGCCACAGCACCTGAGGGAATACTGACATCTTTTTACTGTTTCCCACGTGTGATTCTTACATTATACCTGTACGTGTACTGAAGAGCAGTGTTCCTTTCTCTTCTGGATTCTGATAAAGTTTCTTCTGGTGGGGGAGCCTTTGCTTTTATTTATACTCAAAATAGCATTAGTAAAATTGATGCCAAAGATTTAGCAACATTTTAATTCAACATTATAAAACAATAAAAGTTAATGAGAATTTTGCATTAGTCATGAAATTTGGGCAGCTCATTGTCAGCTAAAACACAGATGTCTAGCTCTTAAGAATTTTCTCCATTTTTTCTAATTACTCTGAAATAACTATAAAGTCAAAGAACTGAAGTTTTAAATTTTCAAGCCAACACAAATGTTTTTTAGTTATCATATTACTTTACTGGTGATGTTATGTGTTTTACTGTGACTTTTTGCTTTGTTACTTAACACTCACAGAAGCCTAAAATATAATGTCAACATCATAATTTCTAAGATGTTAGGGATTTTCATGAGCTACCATAACTAGGTACATATATCAGGGGATATGACTATATAGATGTGGACTTATATGTTTTTATTTATGTATATATGCACTCATAGTAAAGTGTCCACAAATTAAATATGCCCGTACAAAGATTACATACTGTTTTGCAACTGGCCGATGAATGTAAGCTTCCCTACATTTCACAACACTCCACAAAGTGGCACTCTGACATTGCAAATGGTACAATATAAGCAAGTTCAGAATGGACAGAGCCTCCAGGATCCCTTACAACAACATCCCATGTTTCTGTTGCATCATTATAAAATTGATGACTGAGGTGTCATGCATGCAATCATTTACGCAAGGCAGTGTGGTGAGGTGCACAAGGAGCCATCCAGCAACAAGACATATTTGGATTTGAATCCTACTATTTT